CTTCAGTGCGAGTCGGCCACGTGGGCGGGCGCGGTATCATGGCAACGTCGACAGCGGTAGAGACGACGATGATGGTGGCGACGCTGGTGACGATGGTGACAACGGCAACGGCGCGGCCAGCGATGGCGCCGATGCTCCGCAAGCCGTCGTCGACGACGGCGTCTTAGGGTCGGCGATGAAACTTCTGGAAGGAGTTCGACGCGCGCGAAGTGAGTTGCCCACCCCACTGCTCGCCCAATCGCCCCGCCCGCCCGCCCGCAACTTGGTTTGCAAAACCTACGTGGCGGCGATTGAGATGAGTGCGTGGACTTGGCTGGTGCAGCTCTGCGGCCGCGCCAGCCCGCGCGTGCTCGCGCGCGCGGCGGCTTGCTAGTTTGGCGCTGCCGACGCAGCTGCGGTGGCGCTGACCTCTGGGCGCCCCCCAGCGAGCTCTCCAGTGCGAATTGGCGACCTGGGCGGGCACGGTAGCATGGCGACGTCGACAGCGGTGGACGCGATGATGGCGGCGGCGATGCTGGCGACAATGATGACGACGACGACGGCAAGGCCAATGACGGCGCCGATGCTGATCGCGCCGACGACGATGACGGCGCCCTCGCGTCGGCGATGCAGGTCTTGAAAGGAGTTCGACATGCGCGTGCGGCCGACGCGCGAGTGGCGCGCGCGCTATTATTGGGCGCGGATCGCGCCCCCCCCCCCCCACGCCCACCCGCCCCACTCCGCCCCCCTCCAGCGCGCGCGCGCAGGGGCGTTCGATTGATTTCGACGCGCGGCACGAAAGGCCCGCTTGTCCGCGTGTACATTACTCTGTTAAACGCACACACTATGGGTTTGTTAAGCATTCGAAAGAGCGCGGGCGCAAGCATATACAAACACACGATGTTACATAAGATGCGTGTTTTCACATGTTTTCGGGGCGCTCGGCTTTGACGTCCGTACGAAACCCAACCTTTTTCGAATGATTTCGGCATGCGCCCGCGACGACGCGCGCGCGTGCGCTTCGTTCATTTGTTGCAGCGCGTTCTTGCGTTCGAGCGATTCGGACATGCGCGCGCGAGAAGGCCGTTTGGTCGCTCTTCATGAACACGTTGGAAAACCGATGGGGTTCAAACGCATTCGCAATGGCCCGAGCGCAAGCATGTTTTTTGTTAACAAAAAACCCAACACATTCATAGACAAACGCTGATTGCGAAACTTGTCGGGGCCCTCGATTCTAAAATCTTTGCGCAACCTAGAACTTTTGAATGAATTGGGCACGCGCGCGCGACGGCGCGCGAGTGTGCTATTTGTTTTGGAAAGTGGTTCTTCGCAATGAATGTTTTTTGGATGAGCGAGCGCGCGCGTAATATTTTCGGCAGGGGGTGAAAAAGGCGGGGGCGGGGGGGGCGTTGCCAGTTTGGCCAGGCGGGCGATGGGGCAGAATCGCGACCTCGCTGCAATGAGGCAAGCGAGCGATTAAATCCGGGGCGCGGGGGCGCGGGTGCCGGGGGCCTCATGTGCATGAAAGAAAATCTGCGTTGTGCATCTGATTTCTGTTCGCAATGAGTTGCCCGCTCCATTGCTCGCGCAATCATCCATCCGCCCGCCCGCAACTTAGTTTGCAAAACCAGCGCGGTGGCGATTGCGATGAGTGCTCGGGGTTGGCTGGTGCATCTCTGCGGGCGCGCTAGCCCTCGCACGCTTGCGCGCGCAACGGCCGAATTGCTTGGCGCTGCCGACGCGACCGCGGTGGCGCTGACCTCTGGGCAGCCCCCGGGGGGCACGTCAGTGCGAGTCGGTGACTTGGGCGGGCGCGGTATCATGGCAATGTCGACAGCGGTGGGCGGCATGATGATGTTAGCGATGCTGGGGGCGATGGGGGCAGCGACGACTGACAGCAAAGTCACTGACGGCGCCGATGCTGATCGCGCCGGGGACGATGACAGCGCCCTCGCATCGGTGATGAAGGTTTCGAAGGGAGTTCCACGTGCGACGTGCGCCCGCGGTCGACACGCGAGAGTGGCCAGCGTGGGATTTTTTTGATGCGGGTCGTGCCCCCCCCAGCGCGCGCGCAAGGGCGTTCGACTGATTTCGACGTGCGGCGGGAGGGACTCGCGTGGCCGAATTCGATGACGATGTTGACATACCCAAGATGTCTTCCGGAAGAAATCGCAGGTGCGCGACCGCAGGCATTTCTGAAAAGTAATGATGCAACATCATGTGGTTTTCAATGTTTCGGGGCACTCGGTCATGACATCCTTACGACGCCCACGGTTATTAAATGATTTCCGCACGCGCCCGCGACGACGCGCGCGCGAACTTCGTTCAATTTGTTAGAAGGGATTCTTGCGACCTCACGCACGCAAGGGCGTTCGAGCGATTCCGACATGCGCGCGCGAGGAGCCCTTTCGGTTGCATGTTATGAGAGTGTTGAACCCCTTATTTTTGGTTGCAAAAAGTAAATCGCAACAGCCCGAACGCAAGCCTTTGTTTGAACACTCTTGTTGCGAAGCCCTGTGAATTTTATATGTTTTCGGGGCGCTCGATTTTGGAATCTTCAAGATACCTGCAAGTTTGGGAATGATTTCGGCATGTGCCCGCCACGACGCGCGCGTGCACTTCGTCCCACTGTTGCGAACTATTCTTGCGACGGCGCGCGCGCAGGGGCGCTCGAGCGATTTCGACACGCGCGCGACAGGCCCGCTTGGTAACATGCCATGAGCATGTCGAAAACCTGTGGTTTCCTTGAGAATTCGCAGGAGCGCGAACGCAGGGTTTTGTGGAACATCCTTGTTGCGAAACTATGCGGCTTTATATGTGCTCGGGACACTCGCTTTTTAAATTCCTACGAAACCTAAAGTTTTTGAAGGATTTCAGCATGCGCGCGCGACGATACGCGCGCGCACACTTCGTCCCACCTTTTGCAAGGGTTCTTAACAATCCATGAATTCATTTTTTTTTAAATATATATATATATGTATGTATAAACGAATGTGTGCGCATAGTTTTTTCTAAAGGACGAGGGGAGGGAATGCTGGCCTGGCTGGGATGGTATGGACTCATATTTAGGATGGACGACGGTGCAGAATCATATGTAAAACAATTGAGCGGTGAAGTCCGGGGAAAGGTGGACCCTAATACTTTTCGAGGAAACACAATCAATTAGGTGCATAACCGCCGGACTGGCACACGGGCCCAGACGACGGGCGGCGACGAGGCGGCGACGGGGCGACGAGGCGGCGGCCACATAGCCGCCGGAGCGGCAGACAGGCCCAAACGACAGGCGGCGACGAGAGGCGAGGGGGTGGCGACGGCGGCCACATAGCTGCCCGAGCGACGGACAGGCCCAGTTCTTCAGAAGAGAAACGGGAAGTAAGAATCCCCTGAGTGCAAGCACTGGTTGGGGAAAAAGAGCCCGTAGTGCAAAACCTGCTTGGGGAAAATACTCTGCTCCGAGAGCTCTGCCATTAGAAGCCTCTTAGATGGGGTCGGAGTAGATGGGGTCGGAGGATCGCGCCGCATCGCCGATACATCGGCGATGCATCGGTGATGCATCGGCGATGCATCGGCGATGCATCGTCGACGTCGGCAGTGCATCGGCGTGAAGCAAATCGGGCTCCGCATCGAGCCGCGCTGGCGATGCATCGGCGATGCGGCGCGATCCTCCGACCCCATCTACTCGGACCCCATCTGGGAGGCCTCGAGCCATACAAGACATGATACCATTTGGCTTCGACTCTCCACTCCTGCTGCTGCCTCGCTCGGTCCGCCTCGGAAGTCTCCGGCGCCCGGCTCGCGGGAGCAGCGGTGCTCAGAGCAGGACACGAGACAGGAGGACGAGCCCGCGCGCGCCCAGAAGGCTCGACCCGCAGTGACGGAAGCAGCCTCGACGGGGCACGCCCCGGAAACGGCCTCGACGTCCGCTCTGCCGACTCGGCTTCGCACAAGACTGACCCAAGGCATGAGTGTGACGTTGGAGTTATATTTTTTTCTGCACCGAATCCTCACATTATGTGATCCGCTCGGTGAGAAAGGCCCAGCCGGATAGTTGGACACGCCAGGATACAACCACGCGGCGCGCACAGCCCCACAGAATTGGCAGCTGTGCGACGCTCACTCCACCACGCCGATTCGACCACCCTAGGCATGAGTGACCTGTGGTGCGCGGCCCAAAGGGAGCCCTTTGGGGACACCACCGGGCGCGCAGGCCGCTGCCATCGCATCGCATTCGGCGACCGGGGGGCCCCATTGGGCCCGCACCAGAGGTCGTTCCAGCCAGGGGTCACTCGTGCGTGTGGCTGAGCAGCGAAGAGCGCCCGTCCCCGGAGAACATCCACGCAGCCAGAGAAGTCGGCGCAGGGGTCGAGGCGAGGAGCCCCTCGGGTGCCAGGGGACGGCGCCAGCCATACTCCAGACAGAGCGGAGGGAGGGCCCGCGTGTGGCGGCGAGCCCAGGAGGGAAATGAGAGGGGGCGGGCCTTCTCAGAAGGCTCGGAAGTCCCGGGGCCTTCCGGGGAATCTTCTAAGCCGTCCCCGAAGACACAGAAAGCCTCTCGGAAGGCTGGAGGCCTTCTGAGAAGCCCCGCCGCCTTCTGAGAAGGCCTTCTCCTTCTCAATTCCCTCTCCTCGCTCGCCGCCGAAACGTGGCCGTGTGAAGCCTGGCCACAAGCACAACCGCACGACGCGACGCCTACCGATGGTGACCACCAAACCTCCTCCAAGAACATGAAACCCTCCGCCAGCCAAGACACACCGAACATCCAAAGGTACCCTCCCCAGGATGCATGGGAACATCCAACAAACACGAAGAACAGTAGGGTACTCTCCCCGAACCGACCTCGATCTTATACCTCGGTCCGACCGTACCGCATCCCTGGGACCAGCTTTTCGCCACTGGCTGCTTCTGACTGGTCCGAGGGCCTGAAAAGGCCCCGGGAGGCGGGGCTCGCGTATCAGAGCGCTGCTTGTGCCCTCAGCTGCCTCAAGGTTGCTGGAGGAATGATCCATTCTTTCCCCGAAGGCCTCCTGCATACACGGAACGAGGAAGATCCCCATGAGCACGCCCGCGCTCTGGTTCGAGCCGTCGTGCGCACAGCCATCCTGCGAGTTGGCCTCGGCGTCCTTCGACTCGCCATCCGTCGAGAAGGCGGCGGCATCTGGAGTGCAGGCCTCCACGGTGCTGGATGCGTCCGAATCCTGCGAACAGGCAGACGTCAGGCGCCGCACCCCTTCTCCCGCCCATCCCCCCTACCAACTCCCCCCACCCCTCCCTCTCCTCCTCCTCCTCCTCCTCCTCCTCCTCTTCCTCCTCCTCCTCCTCGTTCTGCTCCTCCTCCTCCTCCTCCTCCTCCTCCTCCTCCTCCTTCCCGTTCTCCGCTCCTCCTCCTTCCTCCTCCTCTCCTCCTCTCCCCTCCCCTCTCCACCTCCTCCTCCTCCTCCTCCTCCTCCTCCTCCTCCTCCTCCTCCTCCTCCTCATTCGAGCCCTCGAAACTCGGACGCTTGGTTCACTCCTCGGGGCCGCGGCCCTCAAAATCGGATCGGGCCCCCGAGGGGCGGCGGAACCCTGGCCACGAACCCTAAGCGAGGCGCAGGAGGAAACGATACTAGAAGGTCTAAGGGGGGCCCCTTCGGGTGAGTTGTCTCTAACCTTGAATGTAAGCGCCAGTGTATTCTACGTAACTTATTTTACCTAGCGCATGTTACATATCATGCGCTACGAATTGTCAGAGCGAGGGGGCCGAACGCTCATTCTTTGTTCCCGGGTGCGTGGCTGAAGTGGGGACCCGCGGGGAGGATTCTGTTTCTCGGACTTTCATTTCTGAAGAACACTGATTGTTGATCCCCCTCACCGGTGCATTGTGCTTTTTCTAAATCAAAATGTGCCCGAAGACGCTCGCACCCTGTTGTTTGACAAGGGAAGTCTTGGTTCTCAAACTGTGCCGCTGGCCCCCTGGATTACAACAGCAACGGCTCCCGCTCCTGAGACTTCCTCCAAATTTACTCAGGACCCCCGCTCCTGAGACTTCCTCACAATTTACTCCGGATCGGTGCTCCCGCCGGTGAAGTCCTCGCAATTTAGTCAAGACCCCCGCTCCCATCTGAGACTTCCTCACAATTTACTCAGGAACGGCGCTCCCGGTTGAGACTTCGTCGCAATTGAATCAAGACTTCAGACTTCCTCGCAATTTAATCAAGACCCCCGCTCCCGCCAGAGAACCCAACACATTTGATTCAGGAATTGCGCTCTCGCCTGTGCCTTCCGTGCAATTTATTCAGAAACCGCGCTTTCGACGCTCAGGATACACGCTGCGCCAAGGACGCCGTTACCATTTACTTAATAATTGCGCTCTCAAGCATCCCGCTTGAGTGTCCCACCCGCCCGACCCGCCCGTCAGGGGATCGCCCGCCCGTCGTGGTCTCCCGCCCGAGACTTCCTTCAGGAACGGCGCTTTCGCCTAGGACTTCCTCGAACGTTCGCGCTCTTACCTTCCTGCTCCTCGTCCCTCTCCCTCCTCCCTCCTCCCTCCTCTCCTCCCTTCTCTCTCCCTCCTCTCTTCCCTGATCCTTATGCCTCTCTGCCCTATACAATTACTCAATATGAATACTACTCTCCCTCTTCCCTTGATGACGTCTTTTGCGTATTCGCCCCCCCCCCCCTCCCCCCCCCGTACTGTTTTTTACACACACGATTCCCCGGAGATGGGTTTTCGCATGCTTTTTTTTTGTCAGAAATGCTGCTCTCGCTGCGGCGCCGGCCTCATTTCTGCTCCCGAATCGTTCCGAATCGTGCTCCCTCTGCAGCGTGGGCCTCATTTTCGGATCGGTGTTTTGCCTCCGTCGTTGAGGATGGCGTTCTCGCAACAGCGCGGGCCTCTTTCTCGCGCGCCCATCCGCCTGGCACAACCGCGCCGCACCACGCCCAGCCCCGCCGCACGCACACCCACCGCCACCTCCACCCACCAACGCACGCACGCACGCATGCGCACCACCACCGCGCACCGCCACCACCACCGCACTACCCCACCCACCACCACCACGCTACACCGCGTCATACCACATCACACGCGCGCACACACAGACACACACGCACGCACGCACACACACATACACACGCACACACACGCACACACACAGACACACACACCACCACCGCCACCACCACCACCGCCATCACGCACGCACGCACCTGGCCCACCACCAAACCACCAAGACGCCACACCACGTCACACCACAGCACACGCGCACACACGCACACACACACACACATCCACCACCACCACCACAACCACAACCACGCACACACGCACGCACGCACGCGCACCACCACCCACTACGCACACGCGCGCGGAGCCACAGGTCCGCTACGACACGCGTCCGCGGATAGAGAAAATCAGCGCCATGGTAAGGGATGGGAGGGAGGGGTAGGATGTCAGATGTTGACGCGAGCGCACCTAACTTGCCCCTCTCCCTCCTCTCCCTCCTCCCTTCTCCCTCCCCTCTCCTGCTTCCTCCCTCCCTCTTTCTTTCTTTAGTTCTTTCTCTCTCTCTCTCCCCTCTCTTTCTGTCTCTACCTCTCTTATCTGTATTTTTCTCTCTCTCTCTCTGCCTCTAATCAACCGCCCCCCTTTTCGCTCCTTCTCTCCTGGTGTTCTCCCTCTTCCTTCGTCCCTCCCCCTCCCTTGCTCCCACTCTCCCTCGTTCTCTCCCTCCTCTTTTTGCAGGGCCCACACCAATTCCAATGGCGGGCACATGTACGCCCACGAAGGATTCTCCGCCCGTTCGGGTTTGCCCGCCTGTCTAAGCCCGCCGCCCCCCGCAAAGAGAAATAATCCCCCCAAAGGGGGTGTGATCGAAGACAAAAAGGGCGGGTATCGAGGGTGTGGGGACCTCGTTTTGAATGACACGCGGGCAAGTAAGAACGAACAGTCTTAGAATGATTGTTGTTGTTGTTGTTGTCGTCGTCCCCCCCCCGACCCGCCCACGACCCGCCCGCGACCCACCCCGCGACCCACCCCGCGAAACATCCCGTCACCCGCCCGCAACCCACCCGCGACCCACCCCGCGACCCACCCCGTCACCCTGCCCGCAACCCACCCGCGACCCACCCCGCGACCGAACCCGCGATCCACCCCGCAACCCACCCGCGACCCACCCCGCGACCCACCCCACGACCCACCCGCGACCCACCCGCGACCCACCCCGCGACCCACCCCGCGACCCACCCCGCGAGCCACCCGCGACCCACCCGCTACCCACCCCGCGACCCACCCCGCGATCCACCCACATTGCTTTAACGAAGAAATCGGCGAGTGCGGCGGGCTCACTACATAATTTGTAAAAGTTAGGCGCCTGCGGCGGGCTTCTTCAGAGCCTCGCAGACTGACGACGTCCTCGCCGACCCCTCACTTTTATCCGCAACTGCGGGGTGCTGCGTATTTTACGTCGTGTATGCTACGACGTGTTTTACGTGGTGCACTTTACGTTATGCACTTTACGTGTTGGATGTTACGTAGTGCATTTTACGCACTTTAGCGGCTACGTCCTTATTGGTTTGGGATCCCAGCTGTGTTGTCAGCTGTCTTACCTGGCGGTTTTCTTATTATTGACCGCGTGCTATTCCCAATCCCCCCGTGCTCCTCCATCATCAATTCTTCATCATTCTTTTGTCCTCCTCCATTCCGACCAGCCACAATCGGGGGAACTCTGTGTCGGGAGCCAGCTATATCGAAGATCAATCGAGAGTGATGTCGAAGCCGGTGGTTCCCCCTAATGGGGGCTAAGGACCACAGCACCCCCTCGGCGGCTCGTCTGCCATCCTTCTTCCGCAGTCCTCCCTCACCCTCCTTCTAGGAACGAGGCGACACCACCGCCACCAGCGTGGGGCGCCAGGGTGTGCCGCCCCCCCGCTGCCCTCTACCGAGCCATCCCCCACCCCCCTCTCGGGGAGGCATCGTAGATCGCTGGAGGTGGCCCCACTGGTGGAGGTGTCGCCTCGTCCCCCCCCCCCCTCCTCCCGACGCCGCGTCGCGAGTCCATCTCGCCCAGCCCGGCCGCCTCCCGCAGGCACGTCCAGGAGGCCGCAGGCACGTCCAGCGAGTCCAGCGAGTCCAGCTCGTCCAGGAGACCGCTGCCGTGCTCGCCCGGCACGTCCCAGAACATCGGGGCGGCCGCGCTGACGCGATCCCGAGAGCGCACCTCTGGAGAGGCAGGCGTCGGCACAAACGCAGCCCCTCGGAGATCCGCGCGGGCTTCTTGGGCCGGCCCACCGAGAATCGATCGTACCACTTCCACCACCCTCGGGCGGCGCCCCTGACGCGCTCAGCGCGCCGAGGGCGGGTGATTCGGAGGTCCGAACCAGACGAGGGCGAAACGAAAGCGGACGACCGGGAAACGGACGAACCCAAGGAAGACGAGACGTGCCAGGACGAAGCGACACTTGACGGAACGAGCGAGACGAACCGAAGGAGGAGGAAACGAAGCAGGGCACTCCTTCCACTGCCCCTGGCGGCGCCTCCGGCGCGCTCCGCGCGCCCAAGGGGGGATGGCGGCGGCGCGCCGAGGGGGGCGGTGAGGAGCGGGCGGGCCTTCTGGGAAGGCGGCGGGGCTTCGGACCGAGAAGGTCCGCCAAGCTCTGCCTCCCCTCCTGAGCGCGCCGCCGAGGACGGGGAGGAGCATCCAGCGCCGACCTAAGACTCCAGGGGGGAAGTGAGAAAAGACGGGCCTTCCAAGAAGGCTCGGAAGTCCCCTGGCCTTCCGAGAAGTTTCCTGAGCCTCCCCCGAAGGCGCAGAGCACTTCTCAGAAGGCGCGAGGGCTTCTGAGAAGCCCCGCCGCCTTCTGAGAAGGCCTTCTCCTTCTCAACAGGTGGCTCATTTTTTTCCGAGGCGGCAATATCCGCCCTACGTTGTCGCTCCGTTTGGGGTGCATTTCTGGGACAGTTGCGAGGCGGAACATCAACCCAAAAGCTGCGGATCCAGAGCCAGGGCCATGTTTCTGCCGCTCTGGGCCCACCCCGACCTCGAGGTCCAGCCTCTTCGGCACGAAGAAGAGGGGCGACTCCTCCGAGTGGTGCGGGGGAGGCGCGGCGGCGGCCATTGCGGAACGCGCCCCGACGGAGGTGCTGCGACTGGCGCTGCAGAAGGAGGTCAGGCGGCAATACTCTGAGCACGGTGGCAATATTGGAGAGGGAGGGCTACGACGAGAGGGGGGGGTGGAATAGTTTTTGTTCCCACCCCCCACCAACGCCGACCCGCAGTATGCTGCTGACTCTCGAACGGAGGCCGACGACGGTGGAACGAGGGAGAATAGGAGGAGGACGGGGCCGATGGGGAAGCAATGACAGCCCAAAGCGCAGACACGAGACACGACACTGTGAGGGGGCGGAGGAGCGAAAGGGAAGGCAAGGAAGGGGGGTTGGAGGAGGAGGAGGAGGAGGAGGAGGAGGAGGAGGAGGAGGAGGAGGAGGAGGAGGAGGAGGAGGAAGAGGAGGAGGAGGAGGAGGAAGAGGAGGAGGAGGAGGAGAAGGAAGAGGAGGAGGAGGAGGAGGATGAGGAGGATGAGAAGAAGCAGCGCCCGTAGCTTGGGCCTCGGTGATTCAGTTACTGTTGCACGGGCTGGCGCCTCATGGCGGCTATAGCACCAACGCGAACTTCGTGATGGTATGTGGGCGAAACCACCCGCGTTGGGTCAAGGACAAGTCGGATTTCAATGCGCGATGAATGTGGAAGCTCAGGAGGAGCAGGAAGGACCCTCGATGTCATGTTTCCCCGCCGCCCCCGAGGGCCAAAACCCACATCGGACATCGGACATCGGCCTGCAGTCGAGGTGCCGCGGGGGCACAGCACGTGGGCGCCGGGGCACCTCTATGAGTGACAATGAATGGCGGCGGGACAAAGCACAAGCGAAACAAGACAAGAAACACAGAGGGACAGAGAGAGAAGGAAAAATAGAGAAAGAGGAGAAGGAGAGACACACACACAAACACACACAGACACACACACACAAACACACAGGCACACAACACAACACACACGCACGCACACACACGCACGCACGCACGCACGCACGCACGCACGCACACACGAACGCACGCACGCACGCACGCACGCACGCGAACGCGCACGCACGCACGCACGCACCTCGCACGCACGCACGCACGCACGCACACACACACACACGCACAAACACACACAAACACACACAAACACACACAAACACACACACACACAAAACACACACACACACACACGCACGCACGCACGAACGCACACACACACAAACACACACAAACAACACACACAACACACACAACACACAACACACAACACACACACAACACACAACACACAACACACAACACACAACACACACACACACACACACAACACACACAACACACAACACACAACACACACCACACACACAACACACACACAACACACACACACACACAAAACACACACAACACACACACACACAACACACACAACACCCACACACACACGCACACACGCACACACACGCACACACGCACACGCACACACCACACACGCACACACGCACACACGCACACACGCAACACGCACACACGCACACACGCACACACGCACACACACATGCACACACGCGCACACACACACGCACACACACACACACACACGCACGCACGCACGCACACACACGCACACACGCACACACACGCACGCACGCACGCACACACGCACACACGCACACACGCACACACGCACACAAGTACACACGCACACACACGCACAAAGACACACGCACACACGCACACACTCACACACACACAAATACACACGCACACACACACACAAAAACACACACACACACACACACACACACGCGCAGCGCAGAGGACGGACAAAGGACCTGCGCGTGCATATCGCGCCTTGTTCTCATTGCAAAACCGATCGTGCCCATTATTTTGTAGTGCTGGTGGCAGCCGTTTGGACCCATTCCCATTTGCGCTGTCTGACAGTTCTGGTCCAATATGTAGCACCCAGTTTTAAAACCGCAGGTTCCACATGCAGAGTTGCTCGCTTGATCCAGTCTGGCCAGGGCTCGAGCGGGTCGGCACCCTCGAGGTCGTCTGCTGCTGGTAGGGCGGATGGTGGCCCACTGTCTACATCTCCCCCGCTGTCGGTGTCGGAATACTTGGAATCCTCGTCGTTCCTGTCGCTGGCGTCGTTGCCGCCGGCGTCGTCCTGTTCCCGCTCTAGCTCGTGACTGCCAGCAACCCTTCGTCGTGACTATCATCCGGAGCATGTGTCGCTGCGTCCTTCGCATACCATTATCGAGCTCCTGCTCGCCCAGGCCTCGCATCCATACAACGGTAAGGCAATAATTGTCCAGTGGAAAAACTGGACACGGTTGTTCAGTGAATAATGTGTTCCAGTGAGATCTTGCTTAAGCGAGTTGAACTGTCTGAAGCCGAAGCTACCTGGTTCTCCACTTACGTCTTGTGGCTGTCGCTGCGTTGGATCTTGCGTTCCAGATACTTCGCAGCTTGGTCAGGTGGGATCACTCCTATCAAGCGATCGAAGACAAGGGTTGCCGGTTGTTGACATCGATTTGGCCTGTGCCCGCCATGCAACATGTTGGTCTTGTCAGGATGCAGTAGTAGACCGGCGTCTGCTGCTCTGGTTCTGATGTCGGAAGGCGCGCTGGCCACGTCGCTGCTGTATCGTTCAATGGGGGAGATGTTGTCGGCAAGTCGTGAATTGTTCAGTATGTCGTCGAAATTTGGTAGACGCGTGATCCCGCGCCGCTTGGCTGTCCATTTTGTCTCCGCCCGTCTCATGATGTGCCCTGGGGCACAATTTGAGTAGCGAGCTTACCTGATCTCCACGTTCTGTACCGGGTTTAATCTCGAATTCCTTGCTGACAGCGGTCGGTTTTGACGGAGGCCGTCTGCTAGTGATGCAACTTCTGGAGCAGGGTGATGTATGGAACTGGTACCTGTTGGTATTCTAGGGCTTTCCATATGGCCGCGTGCGCGGTGCGATCAAGTGCTTTCTTGAAACCGATTGCCGCAGTCCAGAGAGGGATCTGCCATTGGTCCGATAACTCCATCAAGATGGCATTTGTGAACGAATCGTCGGTTGTGCTCCTGTTGGGTCGGAAGCCAGCCAGCTTGGTCTGGGCTCTGATGACAACCTAGTTGAACACGCAGGCGGTTGGGCAAGAGCTTGGAGAAGAGTTTGTACAGCACCAGCATAGTCGCGATAAATCTGTAGTTTTCTGGTCGCATCGGGTCGCCGCTTTCGTGCAATACTTTGATGGCGGTCCGTATCCATTTGGAGGGCGTGGGTGAATCAGAGCGCAGTGCGTCGTTGATGACCGTGCCCAGCATGACTGTCTTGAATGCGCCCCCCCCTCCTTCTCTGCCAAAATGCCGTTGGTGTCTGGTGCGCGGCTTGTCTTTAGCTGACGGAGAGCGAAAATTCTTTCGCTGTTGGAGCAGGGGGGAATCTGTCCTGCTCCATTCTGGCAATTGTGCTGCTGGGTGTCCTTCGGCGCGTCTCGGTAGAAAACCGCATGAAGTCAGCAAATGCGTCTGCTATGGTGTATCTGTCGCGTTGCGCGTGGCATTCGGCGTCGGCCATCCCCAGGATCATGTCGCGCTGCTTACTGCGGTCCTGTGACTGGATCGTTTGACTCCCCTGATTTATTTGCGCATCTTTTTGCTGAGATGTGCTCGTGCTGCCATGCTAGTGGTCGCTGGGTCACGTTGGTTTGCAGTCGTTGTGCAATTGCGTTGCCCCTTGTCGTTGGTGTCGTGGCGTGCTCGATCGGTCTCCATGTGTTGGGGTCAAGTGGGCCCCCGGCCTTCGGTGACGCGATGAAGATGAGCTCGCTCCACTCTGGCGGCATGTCTCCAGAGCTCAGGATGCGGTTAAAAGTCGCGAGGAAGATGTGCTCCGTGGTGCGGTTGCTGTTCTTCAATATCTCCAATGCCACCCCGTGCCTGTCCTCCGACTTCCCCGCGGCCATCTGCCAGAGAGCCTAACTAAGTTCCTCAATGCAGGAAGCTGGACTGCCCGCCAGTGGAGCCAGGTCGCCAACCGCGAGGTCACCCGTGCCCGACGCACGCTCACGCATCTCCCCAACATGCGGCCAGAGCACAATTGGAAGGGCTCGCCGCATTTCTTCCTCGGATTGGACCAGAACAAATGTGAGCAAGTTTCTTCATGTCTCGAAAGCTGTCTGTTCCTGCAAACGCCGCGTCGGCCGCTGCCAGAGCAATCTCCGCATTTCAGTCGCGACAATCTCCGACGGTCGCCTTCGCTCCGCCAGGTCTTTGTTCTGGCGCCGGTCAGCGCGCAGTTCCTTGAGTTCTGGTAAATCCCGCGGCTTGTTCTCTGCGATGCACTGCCTTTGAGCGGCGCCGCCCTCCGCGGCTGCCCCGCGCGCCTGCGGAGGCGCCAGTTTGAGCGGTCGAAAGCACATTTTCCAATGCGCCCCCATAGCGTTGCGCACCTTGCAAGCATATTTCTCGTTCTCTGCCCCGTCGTCGGCGAAAATCGGGCGCGCTCGCAGATGTAAACGCAACCCGCAGTCGAGGTCGCTGGAAGCCTCGCACCTGGCGACTGCCATGCTCTTGCCCACCAGCGCATATTCTTATTGACGCGTGATCCCAGCGCGCTTTTGAAGGTCCGCGTTTTTCCTCGGCTTGCTCGCCGTTGTCTGAAGGAGCGGACGGGTTGAACTCGGTGACAAACTCGCGCAGTAGTTCGCCCCTACTGCCAACGTTTACCTGCGCATTGAAATCGCCACCATTCACGACGCATCTGCCCGTGAGCTGCCACTCTTTGAATGAATCTTTCACATAGGAGTATAAAGCGTCAAATTCGTTGGCTGTACCCACAATGAAGAAAGAGCGCGTGCTAGTATGGCGCGGATCGCCGTGCCGTGCGCGTGGACGTCCACGGCAATCGCCCGGTCTGAACGGCGTTCAACATGACTGGTGTGGAGAGGAAATCTGCATGGAGCAAGACGCCGACACCAAGATGGCAGGAGTCCTCGAGGCTACAGAACAGACGGTGCCCACCGTCCAGAAAGACGTCTGTTGTCGCGGCCCGTGTTTCGCAGAAGCAAACCATATCCATCATAGATGGCGCAACCCGCCCAATTGCTTCGCGAGTCTACATTCAGTGTGACTTCTCGCGCTCTTGCAAAATACAAAAAAAACATCTTTGGACAATTGCGCAGCAGACCTCTGGACCGATCGGGGTGCCCCGTGCTCGCGGGATTTCCCTTCCATCGCGCCTCTCATGGCGCGGCGCTCGTCGGCAAGCTTGTCGTTGTTGGCTGAGGCAATCCCTCCCGCATGCATGGTCAGGGTGGGCCGCGCTGAGGGCGCAGTCCATCCTGCCGGCGCTGTGCGCGACCTTGAGCTTGATCTTCGATGCTAGCTGTCAGGGCGCACTCATAACCACACGTAAAATGCGCATTTCCACGTCAGCCTACGAACTCTTTCGGTCGAAAGACAAAGCTGTCAACATCATTGTTGCGCCAAAAATAACGCCACCAAGGGCCCTGTTTTTCAGCGGCTGGTCTGGTTTTGCCCGAATCTTTTGTCCGCTGCATTCCATCTCTTTCTCTCGCGCTTTCATGGCTGCTGAGCCCCTTTCGGATCCGTCCGTTAGTGTACAACCCAAGCAAAATGACGCTGACATCGCTGAAGCAGCCGATGCGCGCGTCGCTCGGGGGCGCTGCGCCAGCGGCCTCCAGCGCCAGGGATAGGAAAGCATCGGCCTCTTCTTTTGATTTTGCACCTTTGACCTCCCGAAGCGATGCAATCAAATTTTCGACGTGGTTGCGCGGCGTGGAGAAATCCGTCCAGGGTAATATTAAACCCTCTTCGAAACCGAACCTCAACCCTTTCATTTGTTGCTGCAGCTGTGGGATCTCATCCAGCATCCGAACTATCGTCATGCGCTGCTTCGTTTGCTCAAAACGGTAAGTGTGGTGTCGATCCTACCCGTGTCAGCGCGTGCTGCGCGAAGGGCTTGAACGACTGGCTGAAGGTGTTGTTCGATATTATTGCCCATCAGAAATGCCCATCAGAAATGCGATGCCTGCTTGGCGACCTCCGCGCCATCATCCATTGCATGAGGCGGGCTGAAGAGGCGCTGGCGGACATTCCGCTCTTCGTCCACTGGCGTGCCCAACATTCTGGCGTTCGCCGGCTTGCCACTGCACGCCCCCCCCCCAAGCCTGCCCAAACTGAGGGGCAGAACAGGTAGAGAAAAGAGATGGGGCCGTGGGCAGGACTGGGTGCCTGCATGGGGGATATGCGGTTAGCGGATATGTGCCTTATCCTTGGATTGACCCTGGGCTCGGCCCTGCGCTTGACCCTTGCGGTTAAGAACGATCCGTCGTAAATCCTCCGCGGCGAAGACTGCGGTTGTCGGGGTGACGCAGGCGCCCAGCGGCCGTCGACGAGGGGGTTGTTTCGAAAGGGCCCAGAGAGAGCCTGGCCGACATCTCGGGGCTGTTCCCCGAATATCTCGACCCGTGCCCGGGCGCCGGTTCTTCGTCCCAAGTCGTTCGCCTGCGGTCTCGAGGGCCCGGCGGGCGCCCCGAAAACTGCTCTCGCTTGGAAGCGATCGAAAACGCGCGTCGCGACTTCGCTCGCTGCGCGGAGTCGCCTGACCCCCCTGAACTGCGCTGCGCGCGCCGCGGGGGCGCAACAAATGCGCGGCGTCATGATGCGTTTAAACGTAGACGTGCACGCTGCGCAAAATCACGCTCAGCCTCTACGCCGCCGGGCCCAACGAGGAGCCGCGAGTCGCTCCGACCATCTGTGATGGATGCCATTGCAGCCGCGGGGCCCATTGCCCTCGACTGCTGCCCCCCCCCCCCCCTGATTTATGACCCTCAGGAGAGCGCGCCAGCGGGTCTATCTTCATCGAGATCTTCGCGTGGGCTGCGCCCTCCGTCGCCCCATCGAACTTCGCCCTCGCCACCCTGAGCGACTTGAATACCTCGCCCGACAGGCATTGCATTCCCCTAGCGCGAGGTTGAGCAGGCTCGCTAGGTCCTGCGTCATCTTGATTTGACCCTTGCCCCCTAGCTCCTCGTCTGAGATCCTGTTGACCACTCCCTTGGAGATCTGGATTTGCGGGGTGCCCGGCTGCTCCGGCGAGTCCTCCTTCATCCCCGCCGCTGTCTTGTGCTCCTCGCCGCTCGCTTCCGCCGCCTGCGCCGCTGCGCTCAAGTCCAGCGCCGCTCCCGTCATCGCCCTTTGGCCCTGCGTCGTCTGGGGCATGCCCTCCAGAAGGGCATGCCCCAGACAACGGAGGCGGGGGCGGGGGCCCTTGGCTGGGCCAGCGGCGCTGCCGCGCAAAGGACAGCGCCGCCGTCGCCTCAGCCTGCGCGCCGCGGCCGTGGCACGCGCGGCCCTGGGGGCGCCGGCGCGGGCGCGGTCGTTTGACTGGGCCCGGGGCGTCGCCGCGCGCGCGGGCCCCCCCTGCGGCGGCTGACAATGGCCTCGCTGACAGGGCGCCTGCGCTTGCGCACATTCGCAATAAATGCAAAGCGCTGACATGTAAAATCCATAGTTGTGGGGGCTGGGGTCGGTTTCCCACTGCTACACCGCCATCTTTCCTGCTTTCTTCAACCTCTTCGCCTTCGCCTTGGGTTTGGCCTTCTCGCCGCCCATCTCGGCGTCTTCCGGCGCCCCTGGCTTCGACGCCCCCCCCCTTCTGCAGCTTGCGGCCTCGAGCCGCTGCGCCCCCGCCCTCCTTCATGGCGCGGGCCCCTGGCCTCCGCGATGCGGGGGCCGTTCCCGACGGCGCGCGCCCAGCCTGGGCCCCGCGGGCGATGCGACGGCGAGTCTGGAGGGCGGCGAACGACGAGGCGCATTTCCGATGGGCATCCGCGCCAGCCGCCTCGTTGCCGCGCAACTCCGCGGGAAGTGCCTCGAGCGAGTCAGCGCTGGCAGCGCCGCCTTCTGTTTCGAACTCCTCGGGCTGGAACTCGGGCGGCGCCGCCCGCGCGGCGGGCGCCGCAGAACGGAGAGCGCGCGCGCCGAGGCAGAGGAAGTGGGAAGACTCGCCTTCGAGGAACGCGTCCAGCAGGCCGCCGGGCGCGACCCCCCCCGCAGAGCCTGTCCGCCCCGCCCACCTTCTCCGGCCCCCTGAGTCTGCGAAGCGCTGACGGCCCCCCAGATGCAGTTCCGCGAGATGGGCCTCGATATGTAAACCCGCGCAAGGGGGCTCGAATGTCGAGCCCGACCAAACGGGCCCTGAAATGTCGACCTTCGCGGGGCCTAAGCGTCCTGAAGTAAGACCTCGACCTGGGCGATTTTGAAATGTAAACCGCGCGCGAATGGCGGGGGTCTACCAGTGGGGGTGCGTCGGGCATGTCTACATTTCAGGGGCCGCTCGTTTTTCCTTTACTGACGTCTCCGCGAGCTGTCGACGCCAGTGAATGGGCGTCTCCATCTGCAATCCCCGTCATTGCCCATCCGCCGGATGCGGGTCTCTTTCTCGAACGTGGCCCGGCCCTGCTTTGCCGCGGGCGCCCGGCGGAGGGCCTCGGGGGGCGAGGCCGTCCGCTGGGCATCGCGCAGTCGTCGCTTTCGAAGCGCAGCTTCGGGCTTCGCCGACTTCCCGCGCGCCCCAATTTGATCGCTCGCGAGAGGTCGGCGGCAACTCGCGGGGGCCTCCGACGCCATCTTGCCGGCCCATGAGAATCGGCGCCAGTCGGCGCTGAATCGACGCTAATCGACGCCAGTCGATGCTGAATCGACGCTGATGGGCACTATTCGGCGCGAGGTCGGCGCAGCCCCGTCGATTGTCCGACGCTTCTCGACGCTAGTGACCCTGAAAATTGAATTGCGGAGGCGAGCGCGGCCCCCGCGAGTTGCGACCGAACGGGCGTCTGAGCGCTGCAGTCTTCCATCCGTGTAGTGAATTCTCCACCGAAGCAGCGACCGCATTCGTTTCGTGGGCAGATTGGCGAGCCTCGTTATCTGGGTCGGCGTCGGGATGAGCGCGTGGAGGGCGGAGAGCGACGCCTCGTAGACGTCGCCGATGAACTGCGGCCTCGCGCGCCCCCCGTGGATGTCGCGAAGCCGCGCAGACCCCGCGTTGCACCGCCTACTGGCCGCCGCGATCCTTGCCCTGATCTCGTCGTGCACGGCGAGGTCCGCCGCGATGATGGGGCCGACTGGTCCATCGTTCCTGGGGGCCGCGCCCGCTGTGCGTCTTAGAATTTCTATTATTCCGGTTGCCGCGGTGGCCCTGTGCCCCCTCAGCCCCAGCGCGCATGCTGGCATATCCTCGTTCAGCCCCCTTCCATTTCGCGATGATCAGCCCTTGGAGCTTCTCCGTTGTGCCATTGGGCCCGTAAGCGACGGCCTCGCTGGTCTCGCCCGTCAGCACAGGGGCGAGTTATGCGATGTCGCCCGCGATGTCCGCCGCTCCCAAGTCGAGCGCGTTGCCCCCGAACGCGGGGCTCGTTGTCTCCAGCCGCGCGTGGCTTCTCTCCTCTTCCTTGCGCCCCTCGAGAGCCTCTTCGACCGCGGTAGAGTAAGTCGTCGCGGAAAGCCGCGCCGCGATGCCGTCGCGCGCGGCGCCGCCCCTCCTCCTCGGCGCGAACCCGAACTGCCCGCCGGGCGCGGCGATCGCGGCGCAGGGGTCGCCCGGCAGCTGCGCGAAGTGCGGCTTGTCCGATGCTCTGAGCCCCCGCCGGGCCCACATGTTCCAATGCTCCCGCCCGATCGCGTCGAGGGCCCCATCGACGCCCCAGCTCCGTTGCGCCAATGGCGCGTTCGCGCCCCCGAGCCCCCGGCAGCCTGACTGCAATGCCAAACTCGCAGACTTGCGACTCCGGCGTGGCGGCGCCCCTGGGCCAATTCTGGCCATGGCGCAAGCAGGTGTCGTCGTCGTCGTATTTCGCTGTGCCGCGCTTGCGGTGGATGATCTCGCGGGCGGGCGGCTCGCTGTCCTCTCAGGCCACCTCGCCCGCTTCCCTTGCCTAGCCCATTGGGCCTGCCCTGCCGTGCTTGACTGGCGGCGAGAACGCCTTATTCCTGCAGGCATCGGTGAGCATATCCCACGCGCGACAATCGAAGATCGGCGCAGTCGGCGCGGCCGCCTCCGCGTGGCCCACGCCAGCGCCAACGCTGTCGATCCTCGCCGATGGCGCAAAGAAAAAATCGCTGGCGTCGCCGCGCGCGCCCCCCATTCGGGGGCGCCGTTCGACTGGGGGCCTTCCGACAATGTCATCGCGATCTGGGTCGTGCCGACTGTCCTCGTGTAGAGCGCGATTGCGAGCCGCCCCTCGCCGCGCCCCGTTGTTGCGACGCGAAAAAACTAACCTGCTGTTTGCCCTGTCGAGCAGCTTCTGCCGCGCGGTCTCCTCCGCTATCATGCTGCGCGCGGCCCCCTTCTCGGGCGCGCCGTTCCCCCGCTCCTCGACGCCTGGGGCGCAGGCGGCGGCCGCGCGCATCCTTTTTTGACTGCCCCTTCCTTTGCCCGCTGGACGTCCTCGAAATGCGTGCGTCCTCGAGGGGTCGCTTACTCTCCGTGCCTACTTCAGCTCTCTGGTGCGCTACTCGAATATTCGTGCTAATGCCTTCTCCAATTAACTCTACACTCGGCCGCGCGTCGTCTGAGTCGAGCGATCGCAGTCTCCAGCCCCGCGGCTCTCATAGCACACTCCTCATATCCGCGCGCTGCCTCGCTGGGAATTCACGATTCCTTCGCAGTCTTCGCCCGTCCAACATCTGTTTCTCCGCGTGCTTCGCGTGGCTCCGTGGACTCCCGCGCGAATGCTTACCGCGTCGGGAAGCGCTTCTCTGCGACGTTCCGCATCGCTTTCGCGCGAAATTGGTGCTTGCCCTCGGGGGCCCCCCGGTCGCGTCGCCCGTCTCGTCCCGCTGCGGCGCGTGGTTTTGTTGGTTTAGCCCCGCATCCCTGCGATATTCCTTCCGCGTGTACCCGCTCGTAAGGCGCCTCGTCAAGCCGTCGCGGTCCAACTTCGCGCTGCCTCCTCCTATGCCTTGCTTCTAGTTTGCTCGAGATTCGATCGGGCAATGACCCAGAAGCTCAACTGTGGGGGGCGGCGCCGTGATTCCCAGGGAGTCTGGACTCATGCGCGTGCTCGTGATGAACGTTAACGACGTATTTGTAGCGAGGACGCGATGGATCCAACTATTGCTGCGTGGCCATTTGTAGCTCGCTGGCAGCGTGATGTGGGAACTGGCCGCCATTCGGTGATGTGCGGGTGCCGACGGCCTTATCGTTGAGACATGTGGTGGCGCCCTGTGTCTTCCAAGTCTCCCAGCCGCCTCGTCCGCCACGTCGTACCCCAGCAACTCACTGCAGCCTCCCATCACGAGAAGCATGTATCTGTTGCCCGCATCCGCCCAGATGTCCCCAATCCTTTGAACAATCCTCAACATCGCCTCGTGCCATTCGTCACATGATCCCGATGGTAACAAGTACATTCCAAACGCTATCATGGGTGTGGTGGCCGTCGCAATCTTCGGGCCGACGGCTCTCCCAATGATTCCCGTTCAGGCTGGTGGGGCATAAGTCGGTCGAGTTGCCGACTTGTGAATGCTCCCCCCGAACATCCGCCACCGCGTCGCTTGGCACGGAGTGGGCGTGTCCTCAGGTCTTGGGCCCAATCCTCTCAGCTTCAATCCTCATTCCTGAAAAGTTTGTAAGGGGCCAAGTCCCAATTTCTCGAAATCTCTTGGGGTTTCCCGCGTGCCCTCTGGGCTCCGGCGCGCCTCCCCGCGTGATTTTTTCGGGCCTAACAGGGCCCCGACAAGGGCCCCGAAAACGATCAATTCAAGACGTCCAAGATGGCCCCAAGACTGCCGTAGGGGCATCCCAGACGCCCAAAATGGCCTCCAACGGCCCCACGAGAGGGCCCCAAAAGGCAAATATCATCGATCTCCCGCCAAAGTTGTGTGTGTGTGACAAATTTTGGCGTTCTCGCTGTTTCGGCTTCTCGACGCTCCGCAACGGCCCGCGCGGCCCCCAAGAGGGCCCCAAGACAGTCTACGAGGGCCCCAAGAGTGCCCAAGAGGTGCTCAAGACGGGCCAAGACAGCCCAAAAACGGCTCCAAGAGGAGGCCCAAATGGGGAACCCGAACGGGCATTTCGAGCCCTCGGCCCCAAGGGGCCCGCAGGAGGCCCCAAGAGGCCTTCGAGAAGTCCCTAACCAGCCTCCAAGAGGCCCCCGAAAAAAACCCAAGAGGTCCCAAGGAGCTCCCAAGAGGCCCCAAGAGGCCCCCAACAGGCCCCCAAGAGGCTCCCGAAGGGCCTCCAAAGTGCTCCCAAGAGGCCCCCGAGAGCATTCCGAAAAAACCCGAAGAAGCATCCCTGAAAACTCTGACCCGCAACCCAGGCACGGTGGCGGGATGGGCCGAAGGCCATTCGATATAGCAGCGCTGCAATTATGGTTCACGTTTTTTTGTTTTTGTTTATGCTTCCCACTCCCGGCTGTATGCGGCATGTCGTGAAGTGCGCACGCGCG